CTCTTCCTCTTCCTCTTCCTCCACCTCTTCCACTTCCTCTTCTTTCTTCTACTTCTTCATATTCAACCTCTTCCTCTATTGTCTCCTCAAGGACATTGTCTTCATCAAGGTCCACCTGCTCTTCAGACTCAACAGGTTTTTCCGGCTCAGTACGCCTCTCAGGCACATCTGACTTAGAAGCTGCTGACCTTGCCCTTGTCCTCGGCATCTTTTATACCTTAGAAAGTAAGCTTGCACAGCAACTGTGTTGGAAGCAAAGAAGCCAGAAGCATTTGCAGAAGGAAGACCACAAATATGGACAGGTGGAAACAAATTGAAAGGCCAAAAGGAGTTCCAGAGTAAGAATCTCAATTGAATTTGTGCCATGAGATATGGCTCCAAGGAGTTAAGATGTGAAAATTTTCAATAAAGGGGCGACAAAATATAGCACGAATACAAAGCGAGATAGTCTAGAAAGAATTCTGAATGATAATCAAGAGGATGATGATGGTCAACAGGTGCAAAAACAATGAAGAAATGAATTTTACGATATTTTTATACCAACTGATGCCCGAAAAATTAAGGCAAAGTTTTATTGTAAACTATCAATCAGGAGCAATGCATTCACAACAAAGAAAATAGAAAAACAAAAAATGAGCAAATAATGAGGATGAGAAACTGAAGAAAATAAAAGGCAAAGACATAACATTTGTACAGTAATCCAAGCAACAGAAAATAAAAAGACTAGAAAATATCTCTAGACAGCAGCAACGGAAAGTTAAATGGTTTTGGTCATCAAGAAATAGTCATATCCAATCCAACAAAGATAATTCCAGTTCCAGGATGCATGTCCCATTCTGTATATGAAGGCAAGACAAAACTCCCACAAAGACCTTATTTGCTCAAAGAATCTACTGAAAAACAAAAGTTAGTCCTTCACTAGCAGACATAGACACACAACTTGATTCTTTCCAAACACATTTGACACTGGTCACCTCATTGATCCACCTTTTTGGCACACCACACTCCCAACCCAAGTCTTTAACACATGGGCATGACCAAAGGGTTCTGCTAGCCAACTTTAAATGGACTAAAGGATGATTGACAGTTTTCCCACACTCTTATAAGTGAAACACCATTGTGTGCCAAAGTGCCAGCGGGATTGTTAGTCACTACATGTTACTTGATCCTTAATCACCAATTGTCAGCCCAATTTACGTCAGCTCCCGAGATGCTCTAGATATACATACAACACATGCAGTATGAAGATATGTATACACATGTGTTGAATCATCACAGATAAACAAACCCTAAATTTAGAGGAAATCTTTTGCCGACCGCTTTGAAATTTCCCAATCAAATTGCATATAGATGTGGAAATTGGTTCATATGAACCCACTTTCCAGACAAAATTATCAAATTTAGGCTGAAAATATTAGAATCCAGCTAGAGAACACATTGAATCTATTACAAGACATATATACACACACATACACATGTCCTGAATCTCATCAGCAATAGCGAGATATATATATATATACACATATACGTTTCTGTATATATCCATACGTGTGTATCTGCAGAACTTACCAGTCAAAGTTTCCTCTCCGGCGCACGAAAGGACTTCACACGCCTTCTGGTCGAAGAAACCCTAGACAGACAGACTGACCAGTTACTGGTTAGGGTTTCGAGCATATCCGAAGTGATTTATTGAAGGAAACATTACACTTTAGCCCCTCAATTATGACGTATTTCTAATATTGCCCGTTCAACTGTTATATTTTTCACATTGTCCCAATTGCTAGCGCCTATTACAAATTCAACAAAAATTATTTTATTTTACCCCCTAGTTATGTTATGTTTTTTACTTTGCTATTACACGTTGCTAATTTCCATCCAAAAAAATTATAAATATTTATGTTTGGGACAGAATAAATAATTTAAATAGTTGATAGAATAGTATAAAAAAAATTAATAACTAAAATTGAGTCTATATAGTTAAGAGTCAAAGTGTAATTTTTCATTTATGGGAAAAAGTAAAGTTAGAATAAATATTTGGCTTAACCAATACACCATGATAATATTATCTATTATCTTATGACGTAACCATCCATTAATTTATTAACATCATCACATGATGTAACCATCTTTTAATCTATAATATAAAATAAGACGAACTTTAATAAGTTCATTCGACGATCTCAAATATATTCATTCAATGATCACCAACATCTCTCTCAAAACCATTCATATTGTATTATGTTTTCAGTCTCGGTTACTACTAGTTTATAATATAAAATAAAGTAGGCTTCAACAAGCTTATCCAACAACTTCAAATAGACTCATCTAACAGCCATCAACATCTCTCTCAAAACTATTCATATTGCACGGATTACTCATAATCTATATAATAAAATAGCTTATAATTCAAATCTGAAAAGATAAATAAAATAAATTTTACTATTTGCGGTTGAAATCACTTTAAATTTTATTTTAAAGTTAGTCTAACGACTAATATTAACACCCTAAATTTAATAGGAAAAATAGACTCTTAAGGGTGTGTTTGGAATAACTTTTTTAAGTACTTTTAGAAATTATTTCTCATAAATACTTTAAAAAAAAATTGTGTTTAAAATCGTTCCACCACCACCACCACTGCCGCCGCCGCTGCCCGTCCCCTCCCCCACTGCCACCACCGCCACTGTTGCTATCGCTGCCGCCACCGTCACTACCGCCACCGTCACCGCCTCCTACTACCATTATTGTCGCTCACCATCTCTCACCCCCACTATAAACCGATACTTAAATTATTTTATCTTTTCTATGTGTTTGTGATTTAATTTTAAATATAAATATAATATGTTTATTGTTTATTATTTTTTATTATTTTATGTTTTTATGTACGGACAGTAACTATAAATAAATAAGACAACAAATGAATCCTCCTAAAACTCATAATTACCTGTGTAATACATAACCCAGGAGAAAGTGGGTCTATTTTATCTTTTTTGTTATTTTTTTATTAGAAGGTTATTATTACACCTAATATTTACTCCTAAAAGTGGGGTGTCTGCTCATCCATGCTAATATTACTAACCAGCCCCTACTTATTTGCGGTTTCCTAATCGAGTGGCCTGTAACTAGAAGGGCCTTTTGGTTCTTTTCAGAGACGTTCTTCTTGTTTTCACAAACAGTCTTTGTGTTTTCAAAATATGTTCACACACCCCAAAAAAAAAAAAAAACAGTCAAACACGCATTTGTTGTCCGTTTTTACAAAAATTAAAAACAAAAACAGAAAAACAAGAATCAACAAATTACAACCTAATGCACCCTTAAGTTTTTGACAACCTAAGGAGGGATGGAGAACCCTTTTTTCTTTTTTTGGACAAGGATAGAGAATTTTCTTTAGTTTGAAGAAGATAATCTCTTGAATTCTATTAAATTGGTGATGTATATTAGTTGAATAAATAAACATGTTTTTTTTTGTTATAGAATGTTCAGACTTGCGTCGACTACTCTCTTGAATTCTAAACATACATCAGCACTAAATATTACAACCTTAGATTTGTTTCATTTGAAGCCTTTGGGCTAATAATCATATGCAAATTGTATCTACTGATTTAGAGTTTTATTTAAACTTGATAACTCAAAATAATAATTTTTAAGACCTTTTTTTTTTTTTTTTTGTTAGGTATTCTTTAAAATATTTTTATTCAAATTATCAACAATAATAAGTATGTTTTATCTTACTCTTCCAGGGGTGAGCTGGTTTGAAAGGTTTAGATTTTGGTCAAACCGTTTAAGAAACTTGTAATTAATATATATTTTTCGTCCATGATACCCATACATATCGATAAACAAATTTCAATGTTAATTGACTAGTGCATTGCTGTATGGTACAGAGTACAGACACAAATTTGATTCATTCCCATAAACTAAAAATAAAACCCATTCCCAATTAGTTGTTCAATTTGTCAAACATTTCATGGGCCGCACACAAATGTCAACTCCAGGCAATGGAAATTCTAACTATATCCCTGGGGTTATTACCTCTTTCACTCCATTTAGTTCAACTCAAGTCTTATTTAACGTAATTATTCCTAGAATCATGGACAATATGGGAAGGATCGAGTTGTGATTAGGTTGCTAATTGGTGGGCCGGGGGTGGGGGAGCTGCACAGGAATAGAAATGGCATAGTCTACAGGGCATTACCCAATCAAAAACCTCCAAAATTTGATTTTTTTTTTTTATAGCTAAAAAACTCTCCGAGACCGCGTCACTTTGGACACATCTCTACAAGAATAAATCACAAATACCTACAATCAACTGCAAATCACATATATTAATTAATTCCAAAAGACACCAATGAGAATAAAATTCTTAATTTTGAATTTACAATTCTTCCAAAATCCGTTCAGATTAACAATTGATGAATTTTAAGTGCACAAAGATGAGGAAGTATCTTCCACAACAAATAAATTGATGAAGGAAGAAGGGTTGTAGTTGAAAATTTTAGTGAAAATCAAATAACTCTAAATTTTTTAGTCTTTCTAGTTGGAAAACTGGATTTCTTCAATGCATGCTATATCAGCCCCTCTAAAAATCAAGAAAGATTTGCCAGAAATCGCCAGTTGAGTTGGTCTGTCCAAGAAAGACATGGGAGTATTTGGGCATTGCTTTGCTAATGAAATATACACGCAAAAACAAACAAACATGGAGGTGCTTCTTCTCAGAATGGAACCAGGCCAAACACATCTAATTTTATATGCCTACAAGAAAGCAATCCACATTTGATGATGAGGATCAGTTGGATTACTCAACAATGAACAGTTTAAAGTCTTAAGAAAAATATATCGGATTTGTTAAGCTTACAACACCACCAAACTAATTCTGGTGCAACATATATCTCGCACAGAGTAACCAAAACAGTTTTCTACAAGTCTAAATAAACACTGATATGTAGCGATCATACATCATACCACTGCAATTTAAATTGGCTTATAATGATTTATAGTGTAAACCAACGTGATAACATAAGCAAAAAGAATAGCAGCAACGGAAGTTTTGCCTTTCTATGGGCTTCAGTGTGTCATATGTTAGCATTCTCCTTCAAGTGGCATGAAAAACAGGAAAACAAAATGCAATATTGGATGCAATACAGCAAAAATAAACAATAATAATAGATAATAAACCATGAGTACACATTTTAAATGCTACACATAACAGGG